TTAGTTATTTTAATTATTTTACTAGTTTTCACCGGCGATTTCGATCGCGTAATAATTAGTTAAGTGTTTTGTGAAACCCAGAGGAACCTAACCTTTTTCGGGATAAATAGGATCCTTTGTCTCATTACTGGCAAAAAACTATAATTATTTGGGAAGAGGTTCGTCCCAATCTTTCGTATTTTTGCATGATTGAGTCACGAACATACAAACTTTTAAATTTAAAATTAAAGTTGGATTTATCAGTGATACTATGAACTATGGAAGCGGCTACCGTGGTTTGTTAGAATTGTAGTGACTCGAAAGTATCGCCGCACACGGGCCACCGACCACAACCACAAAACGCCGCCACCGGCATATTTTTTGTAGTTTTCATACATTTAATATGGACTCGCCACACACGGTATGCCGGTGGCCGCCACACGCTACAAATCGTCGTTGCTCGCTTCTTGTGGCCCGCACCGGCCACTTAATGCACCGATACAAAACGCCGCCACACGTCACTCGTGCGATTCCCCAGCCCTCTCTCCCTTACCTTAGTCGGCCGCTGTCGCGCGCTTCAGCCACTTTAGTAGCCGCTTCTAGCTTCTCGTGGCGGCATTTGTGGCTGTGGCATGTGGCCCGTGTGCGGCGACACAAAGCTTCTACGATATGCTGGTATTTCTCTTGATTATTCGGATTTGCTATTTGTGACTTGCTTGCTTGACATTATTCTGTCATTTTCATTACTTATAAAGCATGATAAGGGCAGACTGTTGTCAGGTTTACAAATACCAAATACGTATAGCCAAGTGAAGTGCTGGCATATCAAGTAATCGCCAATTTACTTTTTATTAACGCAGTTATAATAACAAAAAAGTTTTACCTCTCGGGTAATAAAAAGGTGTTTTCATACATGAAACGTGTTACTATGGTGATTTGCTTAAAAGAGCGTTTTTGCAAAATGCTGAAAAGGTTAAACTATTGCAAATGTTATATAATCCTTATACAATAGTACAAAAAAATAATTGTTTTGAACTATTCGTATGCGATTCGAATTCGCATTTTTAACAATGGTTCAGAGCACGGATCAATCTTTCGTGAACTGCCGATTCTGTATCACCGGTTATCCGTTTCAATCATTCACAATCACAATACACAGACAAACAGCGAATGGAGCCAACGCCAACTCGTGGCTCATGGGTGCGATCGCGGAATAATCTTTATCTGTTGCCGTATTTTAGCATAACAGGCCCATTCTGACAGACGTCAGCCATCAATACGCGTGCGGAGCTATGAACTGACGGGTTAAAAATGGCCCATTCACTTTGTTTGCCGCTCGTTCCAAAATTAATGCCTGATCCCCTTATCTTAGCTAACGCCGGCAACTGAATGCGAATGAGCCTTTATGATGGATACCGAGACCTTTTTTGAGGTTGAGAACGCCTTATATTAATTCTATCTTTCCTCTCATTTGTAATGCTATTATAACAGAATGTTGGATGTCTGATAAATATGTATCGACCTGTTTACCGCTTTTTCCATTTCGTTAGAATTTTGGTTCATAGATGATTTTTAAAATTTTCAACACTTTTCGTACGTTCAATAATTTGTTATACTGCCTAATTAGAAATGTGTTATAGCTATTTTGTACATCGACATAATTTTGCGATAAAAAAAATCTTGCACTACATTTCCACAACATTTGGCATGGGTTGGCTGTAAGTTCTGTACACTAGGGAGATTGTTTGCCGGACTAGCATATTATAATGATACTAGTATGGGCACTATTTATGCTAGAAAATGTTTCCATTGGGATTAAAACTCGGAATGCATGCTGACAAAGTTGAGGGCGAAATCTAGTTAAGACTGAAATTGTGTTTGAATTAACGTCTTCTCTTTACATACATTAACTTTAATATATTAATTACAAAAAAGAATTAGATACATTTTTATTTCAGAACTTCAATGCTAGTACTTATTATCTAAAGGAAAATTATACTAGAAAAACACAAAGTCATTATTAACTGGTAATGTTTGTTGGTACCAGTATGAAAAAAAGGACAATGGTCAGTGCACTTGCCTGGATAATGAAAGCCGTTTCCTATTTTTTCTTTTATTGTGGTCTAAAACTGGTTAGTGTCATCTCTAAAAAGGTGAGACGGATATCTTTTTGTTATCTATATGTTCAAGTGATTCACGTCACAATAATATTTCACGAAATCCCAGGAATCATAACGGTATCTCAACAAAATACGAGTGAGTGCGACACCTCAACCGGACATTGTACGTGATCAAAGAACTTTTCCCTTAGATTATGACGTATTGTTCTTTACATAAACGCTTAATCTCTGGAGGGAAATTGCCCCATAATACGCTTCCTCCTATTATGCTCCAAGGCTGCTGCGAGGAAATAATGAAAAAAATGCCCTCTAAAAAGTTGTTTTTATTGTCGCTTAAAAGGGTTCAATTAAAGTCTCCTCTGAAAACAACTAAACAAGGCTAGCGCCGACGTCAAATTGGCTCGGTAGAATAATTGGATAGAATTCTTTAGGCAACTTTTCAGTAGATATAAGTATAGACGACCGGGGAATCAAAGCTTGTCAGATTGCTAATCGGTTTAAATCGAGTAAATTTGTTGTTCACTTTTTTTTCTTCTGTTGTTAAGCATTTTTTCTTCTTCGCTTTCGGTTAGAGCGTAATCATTTTATAATGCGAATAGTCTACGGCAATTGAAATATTTTTTTCGTTTACTAGAACAAGGATTTTCTGCTTGTTTAATTTAATTTCTTTGTCGTATTTTTATCTGCCAAATAGACCTTGTGCTTAGGTAAAAGGAATTTATACCCTTAACATTATAGCAAACCTTGAGAAAACATAATGTTTTGTCTTACTAGATTAGTTTTCGTGTTACATCTTCAATTGTGTAAACTTTGAAGCGGGATAATATCTCCATGTTTTTCTCAACATTTAACTTAGTTTCACTACTGGATTATTGAATTATTGGTGTCCTCATCAATATTGTCTATTATGTCGGCTTCCTACAATCTGCGATAACTCTGCTATGCCCTACCTCTTTAACATTATAAATTTTCATTTATTCTTCTTTGGTTATCTTAACCTTAATAACAGCAAGAAAATGCTAGCGTATTTTATGTAATATTTAGTAAAGGCCCAGCAAGGTTGAGGCAGGAGAAATGTACTTTTTTAATTCATAATGTAGTTTCGTGATAAGACTCACCGGTGTGACCCGCTCCATATAGGGTGGGTGGAAAATTGCCGTTCTTCGTTGTCTGGGCCGGTGCACTAAATCTTCATGCTACCGAGACGGAGATGGGCCGAGCCTCCCCCGGCACCTCCTGGGCTGCAAGGCAGCGCCACTTCTTAACCGGCGGAGCCCATATAGTTAAATGTACTTTTATGCATTCATAGTGTAGTTTCGTGATAAGACTCTCCGGTGCGACCCGCTCCATAAAATTTGGGAGGAAAATTGCCGCCTTTCGCTATCTGGGTGGGTGCACTGAATCTTCACGCTTCCGAGACGGAGATGGGCCGAGCCTCCCCCGGCACCTCCTGGGCTACAAGGCAGCACCACTTCTTAACCGGTGGTGCCCATGAGGCTAAATGTACTTTTTTAATTTATAATGTAGTTTCGTGATAAGACTCCCCGGTGCAGCCAGCTCCATAAAGGGTGGGCGGAAAATTGCCGCCTTTCGCTATCTGGGTGGTGGCACTGAATCTTCACGCTTCCGAGACGGGGTTGGACCGAGTCTCCTCCGGCACCCCCTGGGCTACAAGGCAGCACCACTTCTTAACCGGTGGTGCCCATGAGGCTAAATGTACTTTTTTAATTTATAATGTAGTTTCGTGATAAGACTCCCCTGTGCAGCCAGCTCCATAAAGGGTGGGCGGAAAATTGTCGCCTTTCGCTATCTGTGTGGGTGCACTTAATCTTCACGCTTCCGAGACGGGGTTGGGCCGAGTCTCCCCCGGCACCTCCTGGGCTGCAAGGCAGCGCTACATTTTAACCGGCGGAGCCCATGAGGCTAAATATACTTTTTTAATTCATTATGTAGGTTCGTGATAAGACTCTCCGGTGTGGCCCGCTCCATATAGGGTGGGCGGAAAATTGCCGCCTTTCGCTATGTGGATGGGTGCACTAAATCTTTACGCTTCCGAGACGGGGTTGGGCCGAGCCTGCCCCGGCACCTCCTGGGCTGCAAGGCAGCGCTACTTTTTAACCGGCGGAGCGTATGAGGCTAAATGTCCTTTTTTAATTCATAATGTAGTTTCGTGATAAGACTCTCCGTTGTGGCCCGCTCCATATAGGGTGGGCGGAAAATTGCCGCCTTTCGCTATGTGTATGGGTGCACTAAATCTTTACGCTTCCGAGACGGAGTTGGGCCGAGCCTGCCCCGGCACCTCCTGGGCTGCAAGGCAGCGCTACTTTTTAACCGGCGGAGCGTATGAGGCTAAATGTCCTTTTTTAATTCATAATGTAGTTTCGTGATAAGACTCTCCGTTGTGGCCCGCTCCATATAGGGTGGGCGGAAAATTGCCGCCTTTCGCTATGTGTATGGGTGCACTAAATCTTTACGCTTCCGAGACGGAGTTGGGCCGAGCCTGCCCCGGCACCTCCTGGGCTGCAAGGCAGCGCTACTTTTTAACCGGCGGAGCGTATGAGGCTAAATGTCCTTTTTTAATTCATAATGTAGTTTCGTGATAAGACTCTCCGTTGTGGCCCGCTCCATATAGGGTGGGCGGAAAATTGCCGCCCTTTGTTATTTGGGCGGGTGCACTAAATCTTCATGCTACCGAGATGGGGATGGGCCGAGAATCCCCGGCATCTCCTGGGCTGCTGGGCTCCAAGGCAGCGCCACTTCTTAACCGAAGGAGCCCAGGAAGTGCCGAAGGAGACCGACGCCACCCGACACCGCCCGAAGCTCGCTCTCATGAGACCGTTTGTGTATTGACTGATTTGCATAATATGAAATAATGATGTGCGATCCTTTAATTGTCCACAGGTCATTGAAGACTGGAAGTTCATGTCTATGGTTTTGGACAGGTTCTTCCTCTGGTTGTTCACCATCGCCTGCTTCGTGGGCACCTTCGGAATCATCTTCCAGTCCCCATCTCTCTATGACACCAGGGTCCCTGTGGACCAGCAGATATCCTCCATTCCGATGAGGAAGAACAACTTCTTCTACCCGAAGGACATTGAAACCATTGGTATTGTCAGTTAAACTGTTACATTTGTCGGTTTTTTAGTATTCTTGAGTATTTGTTAACCTTTAACGAACATCGTTAATTTAACATGAACTACTTTTAATTGAGTCTTCCGCCAGCAAAATATGGGAACGAATTTGGAAATTTTAATAGGTATACCTTATTGTTAATTATAAGATTTAACAAAACTATGTCAAAGTCAATGATTAATTCCAATACAAGTTAAAAATTATTTTTTCTTGTGAAGTTAAAACGGAATTAATATACATAATTTGTCATTACAAATGTGAGTGAGTTTATCTATACTATAAAAAAATTGTTTTTTTGTCTTTAAAATCTTAAAAAATAATTTATAGGTTAATATTAAGTGCAGTTAAAAAAAAAGTGAGAAATGCATATTATTACATATTGGTAAACTACAAAACTAAATATTTTAGGGTAATTATTCATATCGTCATATAATTATTACATCATTATCAGGCTAATATCATTTGGTTTAATATGTTGTATAGGTACTTATTTTACATTTTTAAATACGAATATTAAAAAGTCTATTGCATTGTTTTGTTGAATAATAGTAGCAACAAGTTCGTTTTAGATCATTTTTGAAGAAATAAAAAAAAACGCAATTCAATCTTTTGTTTATTTGCAACTGAACATTGTGAAATCGTTAAACTGATTTCACAATGTGCGGTAAGTTAGTTAATACAAACGAGTAGACGAATTTATGCCAGAGAAGATCTAATTCCACACGAATTTCATCCAACGTTTTTCAACATATTTGCAAGAAAACAGTACCTATCACTAATCTAAGTAGTGAAGCATACTTTTTCCAATAACAAAATGGCGCGTATTTCCAAATGGCACCACGTGCGGGTGGTGAAAACTAGAACTATATCTTTTGTCTCTTTTTATTTTTATTATTAAAATAATATAAAATAATTAATATTTTCAACACTCACACCAATTAGCCTAACCCTTAAGTAAACACTGTACAGTAAGGCTTGTGTAATAATATTAAACAAAGGTATAGTTTAAAAGCGTTTCCAAAAAGGTTCATGCGAAATTAAAAAAAAACGATATGAGTTACGCACTGCCCCCATGTATCGGCATACAACGGAGCGTGCAGTAAAATGTTTTACAGCACGCTCCGTTGTATGGCCCTTAATTTTGAATTTTCGAATTTTAGTGTATACAAACTCCGTAAATGGATTCTTTGAGCAAATGTGTGGAAAAAATACAAACATCAAAAAAGGTCTAAGCAACATGCGTCATTTACGCAAACTGTAAGTTTTATCAGTTGATATTTTATGTAATCGTCATGAAATGAATAATTTATTCAAACGTTATCTTGCTTTAGTCACAAATACATCATTTTGCTTATAAATAACAAAAGAATGGTATTAAAATACGATCAAAAGTTAAAAAAAAGTTCATGTTGACTATTTTGATGAGTATATTATTTTTACGTCTTAGTTCTTGAAAGCCGGTTGTAAGCATATAGGTAATGTATTTCTAAGTTGATTTATATTTAATAAACATAATAAACTTGATTGAAAACATACTGTATATTCTAAGAATAATTGTAAGTAGTCTAATAAGTAATCTCCATTTTATTTCTATCTTTAGTATTTTGGCTGTGAATTTAAGGTTTGAAAGATTTATGTAATGCAATTAAATCTAAAAGAATATTAATAAGTCGGTTTTATTTATCTAATATCTAATTCATAATTTATCTATTGGAATAATTGGCATTTCTTGTGTATTTAGAGATATATAATTCATAAAGAAAAGTTTTACTAGAAAAAAATCCACGCGGACCAGGCAGCGGACGGGACTCGAACCCGCACCCTTCGCAATCCGGGCTAATGCACTAACCAATTATGCTACCACGGCCCCGATGGCCGCGTCGAAATTTTCCTAGCCTTAAACTGTAAGGCAGCGCCATCTCTTTGCATTGTAGGTAACCCACAATGTCAAATGAATACTTTGACACTTTTCTTTAGATTTAAACATCTAGCTTAAAAAAAAACATAAATATAATTTATATTTTTCCAATCACATGAAATAAGATGAACGTTATTAATACGATACCTATATTATTTTCTATATTTGTTTACTACATTTTTTTTAAATTAGTGATAAGAAACGGCCGCTTTTCATTATTATACGAACAGATTAAAGCTAACTATTATAATTAGTTGCATTTTGCCTGATGCATAAACTTTTGTTCCTATAGGTACGGACAGACGTCCTCAAAAAATAGCATGCTCATAAGCTTGCTTAAATTTAGCATGCTAAAAGCAAACGTACGGACACTGGACAGGCGTGAAGCTTTGACACGTAGGTGTGAGATAAGCACAATGAATTAGAAATGATATGGAAGTATTACTCTCTAACAAAGGCTTTTAAAACGTTCCTGACTCATATAACTAAAGGGCAATGTCTAAAATAGGCTCGGCGTGGACAAGGTGCTTGGAAAACAACAATATTTTAATATTATTTTACTTATTTTTTAACCAATTTCTGTCATTAATGATAATATAAAATTAAATGAATATAATACGATCACTTGTTCCTTTGGTTACCTTATGTCACATGATCGAAAACGTTTGTAATTGGCCGAATTTAAATTAGTATCACGTCATGTCAGCGAAAGCGGCTATGATTAGCCGAATTTAAGTTAGCAACACATAATTTTAGCGAAAACGGCTACGATTGGCCGAGTCTAAGATGATATTTGCAGACAACCTACGGTCTAGATGCAACAAATATCAAATTCGATAGAAGTTTTATATATTTATGTCAAAATTTAAACGTCAGAGTGAAAAGTTGCACTTGGAGCGTAGGTTTAGAACGCACCCAAGCCCAAGAACCCAAGTTTTTTCAATTTGAGATTTGGTATTATGCATGTGACGTCGCACGCAATATTGCACAGTATTATTTTTTCGCGGCATATTCAAAGAATGGATGTTACAATTTTATTTCATTGTGTAACACAAAATGTATCTATCCAGTGTATAGACATCGTATGGTAATATATGACTTCGAATATTATAGATCGTTGCGGAAATGACTTATTTGTGCTTATACCTATTACCCTAAAAATTGTTTTTAAGTAAGCTGATACAGAATTGTAATCATTCAAAGGCTCTGGGTAGTTTAAGCTTCTTGCATTGTATAGATTTACTTGTTGAAATGCCTGTCCATAATAAGTCAATTTTCCATACAAAGTGGGCATTGCCCTTTTGATACAAACGCGACACGCACACATACACCAAAATACTTTGACAAAACAAATAAATGTAAATGAATTCGTTTATCCTTTTATTCGGTAAGATTATGTTAAACGGAAACCCCAACCAATTCCATAATCGGCGTGTTATCTTTTAGCGCTGTTGGTATTCCATATTATTTCTAATTCGTTTGATAAGCATGAGAATGCAGGGTTACTGAGGTTACACGTCATGAAAATAAAACCCTTTCATTATAATTTAGCTCTTATATTAACTACGAATTGGGTCGTATTTCAACTAATCTGGTGATGACGTCAAATAAACTGAATGGGCAGTCGTCGAGGTAGCGGTCGCAGTTGCCTCTTTGCCCTTCCAGTTCTGCTTCGTAGTATTCGTCGTCCAAGCCCTCCTCGCGAGAAGATGATGGTCTGTGATAAGCAAGAAGAAATATTCAAAGTTAAAATTTTAAAAATGGTCATAATTTTGTTGAACACAGACTTCGTTAATTTTTTTTTATTAAAAAGTTTAAGTGCTATTTAAATAAATGAAATACTTTTTGCTGTAGTTTTGATATTGATTAGGTAAGTGTCGCCGCACACGGGCCACACGCCACAGCCACAAACGCCGCCACGAGAAGCTAGAAGCGGCTACTAAAGTGGCTGAAGAGCGCGACAGCGGCCGACTAAAGTCCTCTACGCACTATCCATCTTGCTGGATCCAGCATGCGGGACAGCGCTATACGCGTAAAAGGGAACCTGTATCTCCATCTCTTTTACGTGTATAGCGCTGTCCCACATGCTGGATCCAGCAAGATGGATAGTGCGTAGAGGACTTAAGGTAAGGGAGAGAGGGGTGGAGAATTGCGCGAGTGATGTGTGGCGGCGTTTTGTATCGGCGCATTAAGTGGCCGGTGCGGGCCACAAGAAGCGAGCAACGACGATTTGTATCGTGTGGCGGCCACCGGCGTACCGTGTGTGGCGAGTCCATATAAAATGTATGAAAACTTCAAGGAATATGCCGGTGGCGGCGTTTTGTGGTTGTGGTCGGTGGCCCGTGTAAGTTACGACAGTAAGTTATATTGACTTTTTTGATCGACTGAAGGTTTTATGCCGACTAGGTATTCACCTGTTTTTTTCTTATTGGAATAACAAAAATGCACCTTATGCAAAGCTAGAAATATACTTGTGTCGAGTTGTATTGTGACGCATCAGAGAATACGGTTAGAACTATACTTGTGTGTCACGATTTGTCGACAGGGTTCTCACTCTAACCGTACTAAATGTATGAAACCAATAGCTCTCTGACGCGTCACAACATAACACGACATATAAGTGTAGTTCTGCCATAAGACAGCTGTTACGTAGGTAAACCGAGGTTGAACACTTCTTTCGATTAAGAAAGAAGGATGCGGTTTCCGAACTGATGTTCAGCTGTTTTTACCCGATGCATCTCCCATACTTGCGCGACGACGCTTCGGTTCGAAATAACGCAAAAATTACAGTTCCAAATTTGAATGACTTCCATCGTAAGCAAGCTCCTTTATACACACACAAACAGATTTATCGCCTTCCACAATCTCATATGCGTGTCAAAGATCGCCAGTGTTACCACCAGCTATCGTCTAGCGTCTATAGACACAGCCCGAATTAGAACTAATTCGGGAATTTTAAAATAATAATGTTACCAAACAAAATGAGGAGCTGGCGAACAAAACGGTATAATTACGCATCTGGTCAAACTACTATTTTTTACATTCCGTAGGTTTCGGGCCCGTTGAATTTGAATCTCAAATATTTTTCAATCAAAACCGTCTAAAACAGTGTTAAAATGACAAAAATTATGAATTAAAAACCATGCCAAAAGCTCACTGGAGGTATGTCATTCAGTTTTATACAGAGCTTGTAAAATTTAATTTTATGTTATTATACCGTTTTGTTCGCCAACTTCTGAAATGTATGCTTACGTAAATATGATATGCATGATGTGCCCCAGTAAGCCGTTGTGATGCAGCGTGGTCTCGGCTGCCTCGCAAATGTTCCGCAGCAAGCATTCCCTGCCGCGCATACCGTGTCTGGAATTTGAGACCATATTCTATCAATCCTAATAGGGATGACGACGGTGTAAAGTAAACGAAAATCTATTAAATCCATCAGTTAGATTATTAAAATATAATGGACACGTATTTTTCTTTTGTAAATCAACCAAAATATGAGAAAGGTAAAGCGCGTCAAAGTTTGGAAGTGGGGGCTTGTGACGTCACTTTTTTTGAAGTGAAACTTCTTTACGATCGCTTGATTTGGGAGGTATGCTGGCGAATGCGTTACGCGTTATGAAAAGTGTGTTAGGGCGAAGCGAACAGGAGTTGAGTGGGTTGAGTTAACCAAGAGAAAGCAGTGCGCACGCACATTTTCTTTCTCTTATAGCTAGTAAATGAAATATGTATATGTACATACATGTATATATTATACATACATATATGTATACTAGCAAACCCAGCGAACTCCGTTTCGCCACCAGATAGCTTCGTTTTATGTAACATTTCGTTTTGTGATTAAAAGAAAACGATTTTTTTTTTAAATTTTCCTGAATTTTCTTTGCTATAAACCTCACGGAGCCCGAGACCTTTCCAACGAATGCAAAACCGGTTCGTGCGTTCTGGAGTTATAGCGTCAGGAAGGAAAACCCGACTTATTTTTATATAGTAGAATATAGATGCAGCTAAAGAAGTTTCACTTCAGTCGTGTGGTCATAAGCACACTCCTTTTTTTTCGACTCCGAGTCATCCGGTAGCTAGAAGCGGCTACTAAAGTGTGTACCTTTTGTGGTGAGTCCATATAAAATGTATGAAAACTACAGGAAATATGGCGGTGGCGGCTTTTTGTGGTTGTGGTCGGTCGTGTGCGGCGACACTTAGGCGGCATTGCTTCAAAAAACACTAAAGTTCTTGTCGCTTCAGCGTTGTGACACCAATAATCTTCAATAAATCGAGTTGCTTAAGCGCCAAAAAAGTACTCAAATCTTCAGAAAACATAAACGACGCAGAAAAAAATCTAATTAAAATGATATAAATAAAGTGGCGTATAAGCGATTTTGCCTTTCCACTGTCGATATGTTCTATCAGCTAATTTGATTACTGACCCACTATGAGTTTATTTTCCTACAACCATTGCAAAACAATAAGGTAGACTTTCACATAAATAAACGTATTCCTGGAAACAAACTTGTTATTTTATGTACAATCATATTTCACGTAACAGATTTTGTCGCCTCTCTGTGTCATAATGTTGACGTTACATTGTTTGGAGTGTTGGTTTTGCCCATTAACTAAGGATTTTGCTATTAGTTCTCCAAAGTTTTTCTTGATTACATTAAAACATAAAGTGATTTTAAAATTCAAACTAACATAGGTATATATAAATTTTATTTATTAAATGATCTATTGCATTGAGAACAAAGGTCAAATTTCAAAGATCTTTGATCAATATTAGCACAGTTTCCTTGTTTTTAGAAGGTACTAAGTGCAATTATATAATTTATATATATATATACAAGGAAATTGTCTGTTTTGTAATTTTTAAGCGAATTATGGGGCTAGTGGGTCAGGAATCAATTTGTTCGATTGAACATTATTAGATAACTAGCGGCCCCCGCCCTCGCTTCGCTTCGGTGTAGAGCTGAAGTGTAGACTACAGTTTTTGTTCTCAAGCTTGTATTATACACAATGACATTCATCTATGATTCTTCTTATAACTGCATGCAAAGTCTCAGCCCGATCGGTTTAAAATTGACAAAGTTTCATTCCCTATTTTATCCCCTTGGGGTAGAATTGATCAAAATCCTTTCTTAGCGTATGCCTACGTCATAACATCTACCTGCATGCCAAATTTCAGCCCGATCCGTCCAGTGGTTTGGGCTGTGCGTTGATAGATCACTATGTCAGTCAGTCAGTCACCTTTGAGTTAAATATATAGAATATATAGAAAGATTAAATAATAATATGCCTTCTATAAACTTAAGTATGTACTTACTGTTGGAATCTGTTCTCGAGTACAGTGTAAGCCAGCTCTCTTGTGATGCTGCGGCTTTGTCGCGAACTAATAACCTGGAAATTGATAACACAGCATTGTGAAACACAAACTTTTGTGAAGTAGCAGCATATAGGGTTGTGAGGTAGATGCACAAATTGTAAACTTTCAATGCTTTTTAACATATAGATAGGTACTGTAACGCCCGTTGCGTTACGGCCTCTTTGCTTGTGTAAACTCTCTGCTCATGAAATGTCATTATTTATTTTTTTTGAAATTGGGAATCTTTTGTCTTTTATCGAAGATTCCAACAGATAGAATTCAGGCACAGACTCGTTCGGTTGATAGAAAGATTATTATATTCTCTCTGAGTCTAATCAAATAAAAAGTGAACATCTCCAGCATTATCATTTATAGTTATTGTAGGCTGCCTCCCCAGGGCTTCCGTTCAGGTTAAGCCCTACAGTAACTTACTACCATAAGAAGTTAGACATGCGTTCTATACGAGTTCATGAAAAAATTACATAAAAATAGCCTAAACAAGGTTTGAAACCATGTCTTACTTTTGTCATAGTAAGACCGTTAAAGTCTTAGAACTCAGTTTGGGCCTACGTGTGCGCAGCAATAGACTTCGTATGATTAAATTAGCTATTGCCCGCGCGCCTTCGATCGCGTTAGATTTGATTATGAGCAATTGAATGTCAAACTCAGTAAAAAAAACTGCTGACATCAAATCAGGCTGGATTATTGCAGATTTAAATTAGTATAGTTTTAGGATTAGAACTTGTCGAGTACGAAAAAGGTATTATTAGCGTCATAGCACACATATCAACTCAGAAAGGGATCGATACCGACTCGCCTTTCGGCTTGCCGTGAAACAGGCGTCCACCTAATGTAAGCATGTGACGTAACCGGATAAGCAACACGTTCGGATCGCCTACGGCTTGGCGACGCTGCGTTTACGGCTCGCTGACCACTGGCTGACGGCTAAGCGGCACCAGTTGTACCTCCAGCAACGGGGAGGCATGAATTAAGGCGTTATGGGAGGCGTACGGAGCTAGAGAGAGACGTAAGTTAGATAGGCGGAGTGACCTAACGGCTGCCAGACAAAACTGCAAATTGCTGCGATTGCTGCAAAGCTTTGGTTAAGGTGACCATACCTTCAACGGTAGTCAGCCACAGTTTTTTATTATATTAGAATGAGCATATATTAATTAGAAGATTTTACACCATGTCAACAAAAACGGTAGTACAAGGAAAGAATTCCTGTTATGCCTTTGGAAAGCTAGGACTGACTATCAGGTAAAGTAAAGCAAAATTGAATTATTTGTTTAGATTTTAATTGGTTACTGGTGAAAAAATCAAATAAGTGATTCATAGATAGATACAACGACGGCGGCGTTTTTTTTACGCTGTCTTAGGGTGGAATAACATGGCGTCACCGAGTGTGATGTAATATCGCAGGAATGCGCGATGACAATCAGATCGAAAGTTCTTGCGGTGCATTCGTACGTATTTGTGATGCGATACGAATTCGCAGTTATGTGTGGAAGCACTAAGCTAGGCCACGGGGAGATGTAAGCTAGGCCACGGAGAGATGTAAGCTAGGGTATAGAGAGTAGACCACGCAGGTTCGGGAGCTTATCAAGAGGCGAGGCAATTACGTTACGATTCCGATAAGTGTGCGTTGTAGTAAGGAATTTCATACTGCCATAAACGCTGTCAAACCGAAACCGCAAATATACTAAAGACAGATTTTAACAGAACACCACGGGTCGCGACGTGAATGATTATGATAAAGGTCGAGTGGTGCAGCTCATTCTAATGTGAGCCTTATGCAGTGCGGGGTAAAGGAGAAAGTGCAACGACATCTGCTCTTGTTTACAACTTATGCGCGTTACCAACGTATAAGTAGATACTACACACTCGCGGGTGCTAGTTAATTCTTAAACTGGACTTTTGTAGAATACGTCGATTAGCGCATATAAGGGGGATTGAATCGCGCAGCAAACAGTTGAGTTTCAACAGCGATTTCGGAACGAATACAAAGGCGATTAAACAGCAAGTAAAGTGTTCAAGTGCGATTGTTTAAAGACTTGTATAGTGAAGTACAGTGTTTAGCGACTGTATTGTGATTAACATTGTTAGTTAACTATGTGCACTGTGTGGTGAATAAAGAACTGTTAAGCGTAAACTGGCATATAATTTGGAACCACATCCCGAGACGTCACAATACAAAGTACTAAGAATACCGAATGGGTCTAGTTGATATCTGACTATCCCTTTCGGAGTTGATATGTCTGCTATGATCAATATTCAATGATAAAAGGTCACGGCAAGGCTACGACCATTAGTCAGAGTTGATTTTATCTCTCAGTTGAGCCGAGTCCCTCAGGTTCGAGTGGTCTAGAGGCTCCAGACGGAGAGGAGACTCCCCCCGTGAAGAGATGCCATCCACCTGGAATACCTCTAGAGGCACTCGCCAATTCTCGGCTTTAGGTCCCCTTAGGATTTCGCCGACCCCAAACCCGGTGACGCTGTAAAGGTCATCTGCGACCAACAGCATACACACTCAAAAAAAAATGTACTGTTGTCAGGTTATTTTCGTTACGGAATTTCTTGATTCTAAAAATCTATGCAATAGCTTAAAAAAAAGAATTTTGTCTAGATAATGATTCCGATTAAGATATTACGTTTTATAATAAAAAGGTAATGATTGACATTATCTTTGTTACTTACCGGAAGATTAGGAAACAGTACTTCATCTATCTCGGTGATATTGCTGACGGTGCTGTAATTGGCCTCGAAGTTGTACGACAGGAACACGTTTCTGTCCGGAATGTCAACGGGAACCGCAATAGCGCAGAACGTCTGAAAAATAAATGTCAATAAATATTTCTAACACACAAACCAATTAGCCTAGCCCCAAAGTAAGCACTACAGCAGTAGGCTTGTGTTGTGTAACGGATAGGATACATACTGATACATATACATATAAGTATATTTTTTATTTAAAAACTCACATAAACATCCATGACTTACGAGTATATAAAAAAAACATTTGTCCTATCGGCATTCGAACTTGGGACCTCTGAGTAGGCGACACCTAAAAAGTTACAATTTTTGACAACGTCATGTCAAAAATTGTAACTTTTTAGGGTTCCGTACCTCAAAAGGAAAAAACGGAACCCTTAAAAGATCACTTTGTTGTCCGTCCGTCCGTCTGTCAAGACCGTTTTTCTCAGGAACGCGTGGAGGTATCAAACTGAAATTAATATTTAATACGCAGGTTTACTGTCCCTTGGAGCCGTGAAAAAATCATACTTCTAAGCCAATGCAATCAAAAGATACATGCCGCAAATTTTCGAAACTCGCACGGGAATCAAAACCTACAGGGTACTTCCCGTGAACTGAGAATCTTGAAATTTGGTGCGAAGTAACTTCTTACAGTACAGATAATGGAAAAACTGAGAAAACCGTAAATTTTTAGTTACATCAAAAAATATTTTTGAAAATTCAGGTTTGTACGGAACCCTCGGTGCGCGATTCCGACTCGCTCTTGGCCGGTTTTCTTTTTAAATTATAGGCGGTATTAAGAATCTCGATGGCGCAGGTGGTAAGACGTTTGGTCTGCGATCGTGCAAGTTAAGCAACTTTCACAATTTCAAATTGAAAAAAACATTGGATAAGTGACCAAAAACTCATATCTCGAGCTGCTTCGTACTTCGGAAGGAATGAACAGCCGTTGGTCTTGGTTGCATCTGCAGTCATTAGCACCTACCAATCCGCATTGTGTACACGTGGTGGATCACGGCACTAATCTACAATTCCATCTACAGGATAGGCCTTTGCCCCAACAGTGGCAACGTTAAAAGGCTGATGATGATAGGCAGCAAAGCAAATGATAGTCGATAAGGTTGATATAATATTGACGACGAGGTGATTCCAATTCGGAGTTAAGAGTACTACAAGTGTGAAGCTTCACGAACACGACGCCCTTGTTGACAAGTTCCTTAAAATCTTTATTCGTCTGTTTTTTTTGTATTACTCAGGAATGTCATTGGACTTTGAATGAAAAAAAATGCCAAATGTAAAGCAACCAACGTCTTTAGTCCACTGATATGACTTGCTTGCCTGACCAAACATTTCCGCTTTCTGCAAACTCGAATGAATTTACTTGGTGATTGCAATTCGGAGTTTAGAGTACTACAAGTATGAAGCTTTACAACCTCGACGCCCTTGTAGACGAATTCCTTAAAATCTTTATTCTTCTGATTTTTTTGTATTACTCAGGAATCTCATTGGACAATGAATAAAAAAAAAAAATGGCAAATGTAAAGCAACCAACGTCTTTAGTTCTTCTTGGTGATTCCAATTCCAACTGAGTTAAGAGTAGTACAAGTGTGAAGCTTTACAACCTCGACGCCCTTGTTGACAAGTTCCTTAAAATCTTTATTCGTCTCATTTCCTTGTATTACTCCGGAATCTCATTGGATTTTGTATAACAATCACGTTCTTATTTTGACGACCTCCGTGGCCGAGTGGTTTGTACGCCGGGTTTCATGGTGTCGCTGACTCGAGAGGTCCCGGGTTCAAATCCCGGTGGGGGCAGATGTTTTTGTGATGAATACGAGCATTTGTACTCCAGTCATGGCTGTTTATTATGTATTTCTATAAAAATATAATTATATATATAGAGTAAATGTATTCTGTCCGTTACCCTAGTATCCCATCTCGCATTGAAGAATTTTACACATGGGAGGTCTTAAAGTCGCAACGACGATATGTATTCTATCCGTTCCGTTCCGTCCCTAGCATCCCATAACACAAGCCTTACAGTGCTTACTTTGGGGCTAGGCTAATTGGTGTGAGTGTTGGAAATATTTATTTATTTATTTTATTTATTTATTACAAAGGTTCATAAACAGAGCTTAAATACAGAGTCACGCCCACAAGGTACATAGATAAAGACAATTCGTGTTTAGAAAGATAGTTCGTGTTTTCCATTTTCCCAAAGGTTGACTGGGAGAGAATGCTTTTATATATTTCGGCCAATAAAGTTAAAAATAAATAAATTAAGACATGTTTACACTCACCCCGTACAGACTCACAGGAGGGAATATAAGAGCCCTTTTCTGTCTGTCGCATCTGATCTGGCTACTTGTGAATATTAGAGCCCTGAAAAATAAAAGAGGTTACATTATATAAAAATAGGACAAATGCGAGTCGGACTCACCCACCGCGTTTCGTATAAAATTTGTACGTACGCAAAAAAATGACCATATTTTTTTTCACGTCAACTTAGCAGTTTTTGCCACATCTTCAAGGGACTGTATGCCCGAGTATATGGTTTCAATGACTTTAAGGTTCAACTCGATACATCCTCGCATTTCTGAGATGTCTTGACAGACTGGCAGATGGACAACAAAGTGATCCTATAAGGGTTTCGTTTATTCTTTTTAAGGTGCGAAAGCCTAATAACTAATAGTATTGTAATCTATCGTGTAACTCCAACCGATGCTTCAGTGCTAAGTAAAGCGAAGCTCATGGGTGCAGGTCATCTTCCAAAACTAAACAAAGCTTGTTCTATGGCCACTTAATAACCGGTATGGTATATAAATCGAAATATCAAAACAAATCAAAATTCCTAAAAGGCTCCTGTTATGGGACCCAATAGATAGAATATATGTACTGATACATATATTTTTTCGATACATATATTGAATTATATTTATTATAAATATCATATAAAATTATATTTACATGACTGGAGTACAAATTCTCGTATTCATCACACAAACATCTGCCCCCACCGGGATTTGAACCAAGGACCTCTCGAGTTGGCGACACCATGAAACCAACGCCAAGCGTCAAAAGAAACGCTAATGTATTTCCTAGATAAAGGAAAATACTACTATTTCGGAACAAGAATATATGTTAAAAATATTTTTAGCCTTTTATTCAAAAATTTAATTGATATACTTAGTTAATTATTTAAAAAAAAAATCTTTTCAAATCTATTAGCATATTACTTGTGTCCTGTTTATGACAAAGTTTTCATGTGATTGCTTTATGGAAATTACTTCATCGTTTTATATTGTAAAGAAGACCCATGATTGAAGAATGCAAGATAGGTTCAAGAAAAAAAAGTAATAAAGCTGAAACTTACAGAAAAAACACTGTTTTTAAAAATGCCATTTCGTCAACGTAATAGAAGACACCTCGCTTGGAACCTTCACTTTTTCTAACACTTACTTAATAAAGTAAGTATATTTGTAATACTCTTTTATTTTAATACTGTAAACCAGTAATGCAAAGCACTGTACTTCATGAAACACGCGAACATTCTAGCATAGTGCTATATCTAGTTGCATGCTGTCCAAATTTATTGGACATTCGCTAAATAACGGTGCTTAGCGTTGGAGTTCACGTTTCCTTGCTATTGTTGCATGGAAATGTTTTTATAATGTAAACGTTAGTACATTTTATTAGTATTGCTATTATTTAATGTCTTCCTTCTGTGGACTATAAACTATATTTACGTGGCAACGAATGAAGCCATAACAAACACGCTCATTCAACTTTCAAAATAAATTAGAAAGAATCTTAAAATAAGTAAAGTTGGTAAAGATACACGAAGTTTTTTTTGTACGAGGTGCAATAAATTACCCAAGCCCAACTGATGTTAAGTGTACATGGAGTCTAGTCTCGAAGCGAAGATAGATAATGGGGGAGAAGGTGTGCTGCTCTAGTCATCATCACCAAGCCGGCCTGAACCAAATCTCCAACCCCGCGGAATCCTACTCACCAGCAGAAACACAACACTATCAAAAGGTAGTGTTATTGTACTGCAGTTTTCTGTAAGGAGATTGTTACCCCAGACGGGTGCTACAAAGCGGCAAATTCACTCTGCCCTACCTGTCTTACTCATTACGAGGGAGAAATTATCTAATCCAGGCCAGCGAGTTTAGAGTAACTGGCACGATATAAATATACCTTTTTCTGAAATACGAGAAAATAACACTCATTTGCAACGTCTTTGAATAAAAACTATATTATATTTCTTGAAATAGTACAGAGATATTTCAAAGTCTCATAATTATGTTTCTTTATTACACGCAGATCCCGGTCGAACATACAGGTAAATCGCACATATACTAGTTGTATTTCCATCAGCAATAGTTCCGTTATTCGAGTTAGCATGGTAGGCAATTCTGAACCGGTCGCTTCTTGTCGTAGGGGTGTTAAGTGGCCCGGAATACATCGAAAGTGACCTCACAATTTTATCACGTTCATTTATAATATATACTAAGTAGAGAACAGCGATACAATTTTTTTTGCAATTTGACGAATTCTTCTATGTATAGAACTGAATGGATGATTGTCGAATATGCCAGATGATTTAGTAGGACATAGTGTAAATATGGTGAGGTCAAGTAAAAAAAAATGGCAAGTGTGTCGGTACTTTGTAGACAACTGAATCCAAAAAAGCTAGAGAAAACTATAACTGTTTCGTTCTACATTGATTACGTCATTATGTTGTCTTAACCATGTGGTAGAACCAGTATATTTTTTTATATAAAAACTAGCTGTCTCAACAAACTTCATACCGCCATAAAAGGTGGTAGAAGGGTGAAAATTAATTCATTCATGTAAAAAAAAAACAAAAAAATTGGCCAAAAAAAAAAATTAAGGATGGTCCGATTTTTAGACCTACTGAATATGCATATAAAATTTCACGAAAATTGGCCGAGCCGTTTCTGAGTGGTTTAATTACGAAAATTAGTTCACTAACTTGAAAACGAAACTTTATCCATCCATAGCATTTAACTGCTAGATGTTTAAATCTAAAGAAAAGTTTACTAGAAAAAAATCCACGCGGACCAGGCAGCGGACGGGACTCGAACCCGCACCCTTCGCTTCGAATTCGAATGCACTGACCATTATGCTACCACGGCCCTATTCGCCGCGTCGAAATTTTCCTAGCCTTAAGCTCCAAAGGCAGCGCCATCTCTTCGCATTGTAGGTAATCCACAACGTCAAATGAATACTTTGAAACATTTGAAAGAAGAAATAGCAATTATAGTTATGTTTTTATTTTTTTAAGCATTTAACTGCTGCTATGCTTTTCGCATCTTTTGCTTCATCTTCATCATTTTTCTTTTCTATTAAACTTTTCTTTAGATTTATCCATCTTTTTTAATTACGTAAATTAATACTTTTTAGAAGGTTCTTTAGGGAAAAATGAGAAAATTGAGTGAAACTAAAGTAAACGGAGATGAAGTCACTCGCAGAAGCCATTATATAGTAATAAGTACCCAATTAACGCTCACGATTTGTAGTGACAACAAATTAAGTAGTTGCAGCACTTGTATCCAACTTGTATCAATGGAATAGGGGACAACAAATTGTACAGCAAATACGTACTCAGATCCGAGAAAATATAGAAAATTTATTTTTAATTCAACTACGCAGTAATCTTATCATTGATCAACACAAAACAGATCACAAAGGCCGTATTTTTTGCTTAGAACCAAAACAGTGTAGAAAAGGTTTGTATGAAATCTTATTGTTGCGGTGTCTCAATTTTATTGTTGACGACCTCCGTGGCCGAGTGTAATGAACACCGGGTTTTAAGGTGTCGCTTACTCGAGAGGTCCCGGGTTCGAGTCCCGGTAGGGGTAGATGTTTGTGGGATGAATACGAGCATTTGTACTGCAGTCATGGATGTTTAATATGTATCAGTGTATGTTTTCTATCCGTTACCCTAGTATTCATAACACAAGCATTAAAGTGCTTACTTTGGGGCTAGGCTGATTGGTGTTAGTGTTGGAAATATTTATTTATATGTTTATTTATTGTTCTTATTAATGCACTGTTTTTTTTATTTAAATTACAACTTCCTGTGAGTACCCCGCCCCGGGCTGCTGTCCTCTGATCACCTCTGTAATCCGAACGTCCCACATCCGTCCGAGGAAATTGCTCGTTCTCCATACATAGAATTCCCCAGAACGCACAGCACTGAGAAAATGCTAGTTGTGTTCGGAATCATTCATAAACCCTCATCAGGCATTTGTTGAAATACGGACAACTTGAGGAACCGTGGGCTACTACGGAATGTATTAGATTTTGAGGTTATAATTATTATACTTAATCGTAAACGATGTACACTTTATATATTCTGAATAGATTTATGCACCAGAGTAATTTTTAAAATCAGGTATCATCTATCCATTTCCGGTTATAATAAGGTACTCTGTGACAGAAACTGTGTGATACGCGTGATAATTGTGAATAAGCCACAGATTAGAAAGAATTTTTAAACTCTCGTTAACCAAAGGAAGCTAAGAGATTTAGGTTATACAGTCATATCTTCAGTAGCTTCATTTTTTTTTATATTACAACCGTATTTTAGATTTTAAGTAGATGTATGGCAATAGACTTTATGATGTCGCCTACCATGTATAATAATTGTCTTAGCACATTTGTATGTAGTGAAAATGATAATATAGTTGTGGATATTAAGTAATGAAAAAATATTTGTTTTGATTTTATATAAACAACTTTGACCAGTCTTTAGCTGAATGTTACTACACCCATAGTCATTAAAACGATTCGTATGTTTTCCAAACCGGTAAAGTTAAAAGCCCTTTTTAAAATGAATATTTTATACAAAGGTGTACGTTAAAATCTAATAACTGTAAAATAAAGTATAAATTACGTCAAGAATTACCGTATATGTCAATATTGTTTGTACATTTGGGCCAATTTAAGCAATCTCCTTTGTCAATCGCCCAAAAGCTAATCTAAGCTTAGCAAAAATAAATTATTCCACAGAAGGCCTCAAGCGAGCTTAATAATATCCTAATCATTGCCTTCTGCGTTTGCAGTAAAAGGTCCTAATGCCGGAGTTTGCAAACGAGGGAGTGTGACGCAAAAAAAAAGAATAATGACGTCACTCGAGTCGGCGATAATTCTCGCCTGTACTTTATTGTCACTTTGAGGAATTCGTGGAGCATTGTTTTTGTAGTTCGACCATTTTTCTTTTGGAGTGGTGTAAGAGGCATGTTGCCTTTACATACATAGAATCGAACCAGATTATAAAGTGGAGTCAAATTAAGGAAAGAGCTATTGTACTAGTGATGCGTTTCACACCGGTAATTCGTGCCTTGCTGGTTTGTACCCGACAGCATGGAACTCTGGTATCATCTTCATCAGTGTCACTACAAGGGCACAGGCCTTCCCTTTGGATGGATTACGGAGACGGGCCGTGACACACAACGCGGGCCCAGTGCCTATTGGTAGGTGCCGACGACTGCAGAGGCAGCCAGCACCAACGGCTTAACATGTCTTCTGAAGCACGGGTAAGCTTGAGATAATAAGTTTTTGGACACCCAACCAATGAGCGACCATTGCGAAAGTTGCTGAACTTTCACGATCACAGGCTGGATGCGCTAACTATATGTGCCATCGACCCCTGGTAACTCACTTACTACAGAAATACAACGACGTAAATGTTATTTTAACGCTTTTTTCTTCAATATGGTCGAGGATAAATCCTTAGAGAGACATTTCAATTCTAGTTGAAAATCTGATGTGCCCTTACCTCTTGTTATTTAACAGCAGGCTTTATTACTCGTCGTTCATCTTTTAGGTGTAACACTCACACCAATTAGCCTAGCCCTTAAGTAAGTACTGTAGGCTTGTGTAATGGGATACTTGGGTAACGGATAGAATACATACCGGTAAAATGGTCCTACTTTGCTCCAATATTTGCTCAAAAAAAGGGAATTATGAATATTGTTTACACTATTAATTATGAAATATATTCAGATGTATTCATTTAAAGAATAATATGTTATCTAACATATTTTTAAAGTTAAATCAACGTAATGAAGTATTTCATAATATTTAAAAAACTATGAATAAGGAGCAAAGTTACCCCTGACCATGGGCATTGTAGAAGCTTTTTGAGCAAAGTTATGCTTTCCTTATTCAAACTATGCTCCAGTTATATTACGCTTTACCTTTTTTGATAGTATCAATGGTCCAAAATGGGTAAAAATTAAAATAAACCGTATTTTTGAAAGAAATAATGTTATATTCTGAAAATTTAGTTACAAAATCACTTTGTGTCATTGGTTTTTTTATATTCTTAAATTATAATAGGCACTGCTATCTGAACAAGAAATTTGGTTACAATCGCTGGACAAAAATCAGTGAAACTTCTTAAAAATTGAAACTTTAAAAATTATAATTAAAAAATAACCCCCCAAGCGGTCAGTTCAGGAACGGTATATTTTACAGCTATTTTTATTACTACTACTGGGTACTATTTTTTTAAGGGAC